AGAAGAAGCTCCTGATTCCTGGCTACAGATCAGCTCAGCTCCAGCCATCGCAGCCATTTGGGGAGTGAACTAGAGGATGGAAGACCTCTCTCTGTCTCTACCTCTCTCTGCAACTCTGTCTTTCAAATAAATAAAATAAATCTTAAATGAAAAGAAGAGAAAAAAGAGGGATTCATACATATTTTATACAAAGATGCTGAAAAAGTCAATAGATGTGGAGAAATATGGTTGGACAAAGAGTATGTGATCTACTGGTAATAAACTGAGAGGTGGGAGATTTTACAAGGCCTGTTTGTTAAGATTCTTCTTGCCACCTCTGTGTCTTCAAGAATAAGACTGTTACTTCACTTTAGGATATGTCCATAATGAAGGGATTTTTTTAATCTTCTTTAGAAGAAGGTCAGAGAATTCTTTTGTGTTCTGTTTTAAAGGAGAAGGATGAGGGAAAAATGAGAACAAATGAGATTCAAGTGTGGAATGTTACAAATATTCAGCTGCCCCTGCTGCCATGAATATTAGTGGGGAGAACTGTAATGAGTGTGAGGCCTCTGTCTGACATCCTCTCTTACCAGCTCCACAGAGCGGGCACCACACACAGGGCACCTCTGCAGCAAGGACCTTGAAAGAATGAGGCACGATCATGTGCCACTGCTGCTCCCACAGAAGCCTCAGGCTGCCATTAATACAGAATCCCCACCCACAGGACAGGAGTTCTGTTAAGACCCACAACTTCCCTGTTGATAGTACACGGTCTGCTGGCAACAGGTCTTGATCCATATCTGGCTCTGAAACATCTGCAGCTTTCCTGTGCCTGGGTTTTCGCATCGGTAAAATAGGGGTGGGGATACTACCTTTCTTAGGGGAAAGTTGTGAGGATTACCATATGTGGAGTGTTGAACCCTGCACTCTAGCCTGACATGGTCGAGGGTGTGTGCCCAAAGCCAGGCACAGAACTCTCTACTTGGGTGCCAGGCGTTCATTATCAAACAGGAGCAGCAAAACGTGCCTTAGAGGGAAACAGAGACGTAAAGGCGAGCCTACGAGGGCCCTTCCGAAAGCTCATGGGAAATACATAATATAAAACAACTACACATCAACTTCAAACTATTCTGCACAAAATAAATTTTAATTTTAATTCCATTTCCCCACAAACATTTTGAAGGGTCCTCATATATTTATTATAAAGATACATATTTTATATATATTTTTGCTTCAACTCATTTTAAGGCACAGAAAAATTCCAAAAGTGGCAGAATTCATAGACCCTTTTTCCAGCTTCTTCTGATGTTAATGTTTTGCATAAGTGTGGGTCAGTTATCAAAAGCAAGAACATCAGTACAAGACTCAACTGAATGACTGGCTTTATTGAGATTTTTACCTATTTTTCCCCTAATGTCCTTTGTCTCCTTTAGGACCTAATCAAGGTCCCTTTGCACTTACTTATCATGTCTCTTTAATCTCTCCAAATCTGTCCTTGTCCTCCATGACCTTGACTCTTTCTAAGAGTACTGGTCAGGATGTTGTAGAATGTCCTTTGCTTTGGGTAACTTCCCCATGAGTAGATTGAGGTTATGCTTTCTTAGGGAGACTGCCACAGAAGCAATGAGCCCTCCTCAGCATCTCATATCAGGAAGTACATAATGTCAGTAAGACTTATCTGGCAATGGCGACTTTGATCGCTTGGTTAAAGTGATGTCTGTTAAGTTTACCCACATTCTAAAGTTCTGAGTTTTCCCTTGCAATTCATAAATACCTTCGGGGAGAAATTTTAGGAGTATGCAAATAATATATTTCTCTTCATTTCCCCCTCTCAAAATATTCTGTTCATTGGTGCATCTTGCCCACAACAATTGCTGCTCTGTTCTACGGGTGATGTTCTATTCCTTCATTCTTTCTGCATTTATCCGCTTCTATAATGAAATGCTGTTTCTTCTCCTCCCTTATTTATTTATTCAGCTATTTACTGAAATCATCAAGGACTCATAGATATTTATTTCATTTCATAGATTTTATAACTCAATGCTACCATTATTTATTTTGATGCTATGGCACTTTTTAAAAATATCCCTACCTGGGACCCTTACCAAATCACGTAAACCAAAATCTATGGTTGTGGAGTGCATGCATGGTGCTTCTTTCAAGTTCTCTGTCTGCACTAAATATTAGCTGCTTCACTCTCCCCTCTACTTTCTCTTTAAGAAAAATCTTTATTTGCACATTTAGCAGGATTTGTTCCTGCACTGGAGGTTAGCACATCGGTGCCCATATTCCTGTCTACCCTCAGCCCACACTCCTCTCCTTTGGCTTCTCTTGGCCCCAAACAGGAGCTTGGGCACCAGAATCCTTCCTTTCACAACAGCCTCCTCCTGTGGAAATTCTGCTGATGTTTTCGGTGGTTTTCACTGTAGTCAGGTGGAGGGAGAAAAGGCAGCTTTTAGAAAGGTGGGCTTGAGAAAGACCTCAGGAATTAGGACCTTAAGTTCTCAGGGCCTGAGAGCTGGTCCTGCAGTTCCAGGCTCTGCCTCTCCAAGTCCAGCAAAGCACTTTTCAGCCAGGTGGACAAAATTTCCAGTGTAACAACAACTCTCAGTTACACAAATAACTTATTTGGATATCTCTGAAATCTTAACAACCAAATACAGAAATTCAATTCTCCCTTTAGGTGACCAATATAGAGCCAGGTAAATTTCCATTGAAAGAGATGGTCTTCCTGAATAAGGAAATTGATCCTATAGCATCCTTTAGCTGGTTTCCAATTACCTTCTATTCCTAGATGTCTAATCAATCTCCTGATATTTTTAGAAACCTAATTGTTTCTTTAGTCAGACTAATGCCAATAATGTGTCCAAAACTTAGATGGACCGGATTTAGAGACTGCCTTGTGATTGAACAGGAGCTTAACCCTAAGTATACCATGGCAGGCTGACCTTGGCAGCTTACCCAAATTATGCTACATGAATCTGGGGAGATTTGTCTCAGAACTTTCTCTTCCTTTTTGTTGACTTCCTTCTTTATACTGGACTGCTCCTAGCAGTATTTTCTGTATTTATAACACATTTATTAAAATGTTACAGGGATCCCAGTTCTAAAGTAAGTAAATTAGTGAACTATGCAATAATCAGACAGGCAAGTCCACAGTTTTACAATAGAACACAGAGATTTCTGAGATAGGCATGTTAGAGATGCAAAATGTTAATTCAATACAGTATCCAAGGTGGAATGAGAAATGTCTTGATGCTACATGACAAAAAAAATCTCTCTTCTTGGAAGAACTTTACCCTGAGAGGAGAAGCCACTCAAATGTTTATTGTCAGAACCACAAACTCGATACCCTTCATGATAAAAGACTTCAATCTTTGACCCCAGTAAAGTTGCTGCTTTAAACGCCATTTGTGTATTGATCTCCTCTGAAAACACAGGTAGGTGTCCAGCAGGAGGAGAATCAGGGTGGGGGTGGGGAATCAAGTTATGAGACCTGCAGGAGAGCCTAAGCAACTGGAGAGGGAACCCCAGGTCATCAGCCTTGAAAGGTGATTCTTCTGAAGCTGGGCAGCCTGCGCCTTTTCTCTTTTTGCGCTCTTCAGCAAGGTGTACTGGTGAGCAAAACTCAAGATAGAAAGATTGTCCTCTGAGAAACCTTGACTAACCTTTTCATCTACTCTTTAAAAGACAGAAAAAAAATGGGGTAGACATAGAGTGGAGACCAGTCTTAGATCAGTACTCTTTGGGAGTTAAATAGTCTGCTAACCCTTCAACAAGGGCATCTACCACCACCATCCTGGCATGTTATTCCTGTATACACTGCCTTAAAGAAATGAGCCAATGTTTCTTGTTTGAGGCTGAGATGGGGATATAAAGGCCAAAAGTTTTTGGGATTGCCAGACTACCAACAAGAGATTGACAACGTAAAATTTTTGGACTGACTTAATGTTCACTATGAATATGCATGGATTTCAAAAGATTTTGTAGCAAAATGAACTGATCTTTTAATTCCATTTTCCATGAACTTCTTGGGGAATTCATTTACACATAAACCATTTAGAGCAATAAGAGAAAAACAGAAGTGTCTGACTTGATATCTTCCTTGTTCCTCCATGAGATCAAATTAAGAAATCTATTTCCCAGACTTGGATGAGAAAATGTCTTTAGAAGCTTGTTGTTTAGCTGCTGAGCCCATTTAAATCATTTTCAGTAACAAGAAATTCCAAAATTTTTTTTATTGAGTATCTACCAGGTGATATTCCAGAAATACAACAAATCTCTCCCCTCGTGAACAGTCAATAAATAAATGAACAAAAATAGCAATTTTGGAGAGCAGTTAATGCTATAAAGAAAAGAAAGATGTGATGAAGTGAAAGGAGTAGGTGTCAGGAACAGCCTCTTGTGAGGGATATACATCTGAGTTTATTCCCAGTGATGAGGAGAGAACTCATGCAGAGAATGTTCCCAACAGTGCAAAGGACCTGAAGCAAATGACCAGAAAGACAGATATGGCCAGGGCATAGTGAACAAGTAAGGTGAATTAGGAGACTCTGGAGAATAGCCAGTTCATGGAGCGTCTTGTATGCCTTGCTCTCTGTATAACCGGAAGCCTCTGCAGGGTTTGAGGGGTTGAAGTGGAGGAGGGGCATGATATGGTTGTTCTTTGTAAATACCTTTATAGCTGCTGGTGTAAACAGACTGTAAGGGGGCAAGAGCGGAAGTAGGAACTCCAGTGGTACTTTAGTGATATGTTATGTCTCCATCCTGGAAGCCTGACTACCCACAACACAGATTTAATCTCTTTGTTTGAGACTGAGGGTCATTGCATTTATTTAACAACCCCAAAACCTCTCTACTTGTTTATTGCTTAAACATCAGAAAAACCATTTCCTGAAATTCATTTAACTAGAAAGTATGATTTGTGCTTATCAGCTTATTAAAGATAACATCTTACTTGAGTCAGTCAAAGGAAAAAAAATTTTTTGCTTTAATCAGTTATCTCGTTTTTCCTCCTACAGGGATCCCAATCACCTCTCCGTCCCTTATCATTATTATGAGCCTTTTGGACCTGATGAATGTACAATGTATCTCTCCCATGAGCGAGGACGGAAGGGCAGTCATCACCGCTTTATCACAGAGAAGAGAGTCTTTAAGAACTGGGCACGGACATTCAATATCCACTTTTTTCAGCCAGACTGGAAACCAGAACCACTTGCTATAAATCATCCTGAAAATAAACCTGCGTTCTGAGAAATGAGCATGCCAGGCTGTAATCTCAGATACCCACTGTACCAGACACAGGGGTGCTGGACTTCCTGATCCACCAGACAGGAACAGGTAGCAAAAAACAGTTTCAATCCTCTAGTACCATGGACAGATGCCTATGTCCCAGGACTACAGGCAGTACAGTTGGTTTAAAGGGAAAATACCAGAATTAATCCATCCTAATGAGTGTTGCCTCTTTGAAAGGGGCTACCTTAGGCGCTCAACACTCATTTCACTGATGCTACCCTGGCTAAAAACATTTTGGATCACTTTAAGTATTGCCTTTGAAACCGAAACATGAGCAACTCAACAAGAATAATCACATTCCTTTATAAAAATACCATGTCAAAAGACATTTTTCTATCCAGTTGTATTCTAACCTGATCTGTAACCTTTGTCATCTGTTGGACTCTGTATGTGTGATTTGTACAAAGCAATCTGAAAATATGGACTTGATTTCTGAAGAGCACATCTCCACTAACTTTCATAAAGCAAATGTCCAATATTTATTTATTGAGAGTTTTTTAGTGCACTCTAGGCCAGTATTTTTATAGATTATGATTCTGTGGTGATTTATTCTTCCTAACTCTTTAATCCTGAATGATTTTTGAAAATGGCCTAGAATTGGATTGATGAGTTACTGTGTTCACAATACTCATTGTTAGCATGCACTTGGTATTTGACTTGGAAATGTTGTCTTGCATTCTTTGAACACCTAGGCTTCAGGCAAATTGCTTGTTCATAGTAAGAATAGCTACAACATTTTCTAATGTGCAGAACTGCTCCAAAAAGACAAAATTGAAAACCAAAAACTGTGTTATTAAAACAAAAACATGCTAACAAGATAAAACTTAGAGAGTTTTCTTGAATAATAGGTGATGTAAGTAGCTTCTTGAATGCCTTAGTTTCTCCTCTTCAGTAGGGTGATATCACCCTACCAGATGACCTCTAAGGTTTTATTCTGAATCTACAATTCTATGAGCCTCCTGTTGACCCACTTGAGAACTTTATACTTGGAAAAATCAGACTACAACAATAGTAGGAACATGGGGGGAGCATTAATATTTCCATAATGCTAGTAATCACCCTCTTGTGGTTAAAAACATACTTCTTCCTGCAATTCCATTAGCTAAAATCTATCCCCTGCTTCTCTGAAAGGACCACACATCCACATACCACAGACTTACTTCTGCGGTGTTTTCTGTCTACAAGAGGGAGGAGCTGACCTTCTGTGAAAAAAGAATACAAAGAGATTTCCTATCAGATAACTCGCTTATTCTACGAACTATTTATACTCTCTGCAAATCTTCTTAGATTATATTCACTACCATTCCCTGGTCTGAAGGAATATGAAGGACTTACAGTATGCAGAGACAAGATAAATTAGTATTATAGATTTTCATTTAAAAAAGAGTCATGTACAAAAACAGTATTTTAAAAATATTATAGTGTTTTCCTTATACCAGGATTAGGAGGCATTAGTTTCTTTAATTTCAAATTTGAAGGCACCAGCAAATATTATGTATGGAATCTGACACTGTTTTATAGAACATGACCTGGCTTATGATTAAAGGTCACTCACATTACCACATCTTTCTCCTTTTAAAATTAGTAATGAGGTTCCATCCCCTTACACTAACTGGTACTCTTAATTATAGAGTGCCATTGTTGAAATACAAACACAATCCAAGTGTTCACACAGCAAAACCAAAGTTGGTATTAGGGTGATGTGGCTTGAGCTGTTAAAAGCCAGTAAAGTTGAAATGGCTGATGAAAACAAACTAGAACACAGTCTTTAAATTTTCTCCTAGTTTTTGAAGGGACTATGAATTTTTTTCCAATAATCTTAGGCAGCATGGACTCTGAATACCGTATTTTCTGAAGGTCTGCAAAGGTGTATGAATTCAGTACAATTATCTACAGACCACTTTACAGTCACTTGGGTAGATTCTATTACTCAGATGTAAATGAATCTTTTAAGAATTCTCTATTCTTGGAAATCTGTATGGACTATTTGAGACATGCAAGGATATAACTAAATATAGTTATCTAATAGTATCTCATATGTCTGTGTATTTCAGGTTTTAGGGATTTTTTTTAAATCATGATAATTCCATTTTTGGTAACTGTTCCCTCTTCAATACTCAAAAGAGTGAAAAGCAACCAAATTCTGAGAATCCTGTCTTCACTGGGAAATGTTTTACATCACATGTAGCTAGGATATGTGAGTTCACATTTTTTTTTAAAAAAATGGTGGTGTAAATAATTGTAAGAAATTATTGCTTGGATAGATGCTTTATCACAGCATGAAGGGAAATGCCTAGAATTCTGATAGATTGTGCTGATGGACATGGTTGTGGGCAATTGAATTCTTGTCTTGCTACTATCATTTCATGACTGTCAGTCTTAACATCATTCAACACCATTCAATATAAACTCTGATATAAAAGATGACTACAAAACCACATTTACAGACCTCACCAACTTCACTGGATAGGATTGTGTTTGAAGCCCAAGTCACACACTCCTGCAACATACCTTTTTCTTCTCTCTCCAGCTGTGTCATGAGCTCCCTCCTAGCTTTTAAGACCAAGGTAATACAATCCCACAGCTGGTCGATCCATGGCTTCTGTTATTTCAACGCAAGAACATTTGGCAGAGGCCATTACAATAGATAGCCATTATGGGCAAAGATACAGGGATTCACAAACACAATCAATCACTGCAAATGGCCCATAAAAAGAGGAATCTCACATTTAATATTCTACAGTAAATATTCACCCAAGAAAACATACATTAAAAGAACATTAGGAGGTAAATATTCAGCGTGCTGCATGGGGATTTAGCTATGTGATTTCCATTACTGTTAATGGGTATTTGGCAACTAAGTCCCTGTGCCTCGCTAACCCTGGTGTGTACTCCTAAGGGCTAGACATAAAACTAGAGCACTTCTAAAATGTCCAACATGCTAAGATTTCAGCATTAGATGTTTTCTTGAAAAGCAAACAAATATAACAGAGTATTGAACCTAAAAGAGAAATTCATGTGGTTTCTCAGAATCCCTAGGTTACTACCACATTTGTGTTTTGGAATCTTTAGGTTATTACCACATTTGTTTATCAGATACCTTCCAACTTAAATTGCTCTTGCTCTGCAGTTCTCTCCATCCCTGATCTACCTGAATTACGTTAGAATGAAGGGAAATTATCTCATTTGAAATAAACTCCCCCTTGAAAAGTTAAAATGATTCATTTATAAGCTAATGAATGCTAGCTGAATAGTGGAAGGGAAAAGTAGAAATTTTGTTAGGATGAAGGCAGTGCTAGTTAAATGCACTTGTACCTGTTTAGTACCTGTCCAAATATTTGCCCCTGTAGAGTGGCGTCATTTTAGGAGTCTATCCTGGGTTCAGAGTGGTGATTCCAAATGTCAAGTAGACCTACCCTGAGAGAGTCTGTGCCACATTCTCATTTGACAGTGTTAGGAAAAGATGCAATAATGCAACACACGACATATTTCATAACTGGCTCAATCATTCCTCTCATCCTCACATCTCTCTTGGGACCCATTCCGTCTGAGTTGTCATTCTTTTGTCTACACCAGCAGTCTTTGTGGTTGTTAAGGTCTTCCTCCTAGGTTTCTTAGCTAGAGAACTATCTGGGGAACAGATAGAGTAATGACTGCCAGAGTAATGACTGTCATAGATGGGAGGCATACATCTGGCAACAAACAAGGTACTTCAGAAATACCCTCCTTGTTTTCCCAAGACTGCGAGAGGAGTGTAGAGGTGGGAGTTCCAAGACATAGACTTTCAATGTTAACATTAGGGCAGTCCTGGAACTGGGACAGGAGGTCACCCTGTCTAATTGCCACCTCAAGAACTATAATGAGCTGGGACGTGGGGGGGAAGGGGAGTAAACCATTGTCTAGGTTTTATCACATGCCAGAAGATACTTTGGCATGGAAAGAGATGAGAGAGTGTCAACAAGAGTAGCCCCTCTATTCTAGCTTACTCACCCCCCACCTACTCAGGGTATTGAAATGCAAATGCAAAAAAGGCTGAAATCTTGTTGGTTTCTACTCAGTGCCCTAACATTATATGCTACCTTGGATTGTTCTTTGTCTTTGTATGTATGTGTCCTGTGAGTCTAATTAGATTGTAAGCTCCTTGAGGGCAGGGACTATTTCTCCTTTGTTTTTGTAGCCCAATACCTTGTACAGTGCCTTGCACACAATAGGCGCTCAATAAATGTCTGTTGTTGATGATGATCTCTTAATGTTGACCCACTGCATTGGTAATTGGGTGTAAAATACATTCTATAAGTACAAGAGATGCAATAGCTTATGATATAATTAAATTTTAAGTGGGTTTTTATAGGGCCAGTCTTTAATCTTATAATTTTTTAATCAACATAGCTGACCTAGATTTGGATAGAATAATGTTGCTGAATTCATTAGGTTTGCTAATGCTGGCTGTACGGAGCACACAGACAAAGTCAAGTTAACAAGCTTTATGTTTTTGCTGTTCATGCACTGGTCTTAGTTGAAATTAAATTTAGTATTGACAAATGCTACACCATCAGCAGAAGGGCAAAAAAGCAGCTCAGGCTCTGACTTTTTGATTTAACAAAAGAAGGGCTAAACTGAGACAAGGTGTAACTTAACTTAACCTTGACAGCCTCCTAAAGCTATTGGGAATCCAACTGATGGTTATTAAGGATGTATAAAAATTAAGTGCATGTTTATCTTAAGAACAAAATGAAAAAAACCAAAATCCTTTTGTGCCAGTGAAACAATCAAAACTGGTTTTAACGTTTTCACAATATGAGGAGAAAGAATTCTTGGAAAAAGGTGTCCCTGGCAGAGTGTCCCAGGCTCCTGAATCACTACTGGCCAACACCTGGTTCTAGGGACCTCACAGCTCCAGTAAAGGTGAATTCACAGCCAGTGGCTGCCCCCGAGAGGAATCATAACCATTGCTTTCTTGGATATGTGGATTTTTTCAGAACACCTCTCATTCATTGCTGGCTCTTCCACATACTTACTTAATTGTGTGATCTTAATTTCACTTTTTAAAGCATAGGGGAAAAGCTACAAGACACTACATTAAACTGAGTTGAGTACTTATTTCTGAAGAGATAGAATTATATAGATTTTCCCATATTTTCAATACTTTTATTACAATCACAAAATGTTACTTCATAAAATATTAAAAGACATTGTAACAGGATTTCAAACAGAATTCTAGCAGGGGTGCTAGGAAAGATAGCCACATGTAACTACACTTAAAAAAATGTCTTCACTCACTACATAAATCACCTCAAGGCTATAGTTCTTTAGCATGAGGCTAGATATTTAATTTTAAAATCAAATATAGGGGGCCGGCGCCGCGGCTCACTAGGCTAATCCTCCGCCTTGCGGCGCTGGCACACCAGGTTCTAGTCCTGGTCGGGGCGCTGGATTCTGTCCCAGTTGCCCCTCTTCCAGGCCAGCTCTCTGCTGTGGCCAGGGAGTGCAGTGGAGGATGGCCCAAGTACTTGGGCCCTGCACCCCATGGGAGTCCGGGATAATTACCTGGCTCCTGCCATCGGATCAGCACGATGCGCTGGCAGCAGCGCGCTGGCCGCGGCGGCCATTGGAGGGTGAACCAACGGCAAAGGAAGACCTTTCTCTCTGTCTCTCTCTCTCTCACTGTCCACTCTGCCTGTCAAAAAATAAAAATAAAAAATAATAATAAACAAAAAAATCAAATATAGGAAACCCATGAAAGTGAGTCAAAACCTTTGCAACTACATTTTTATCCATTGAATATCTACTGTGTTTTGCAAATAACATTCGTGACATATATACTCATATTATTTCCCCATAATCCTATTATCCTGATGCAAATAAGCAAACTGAGACAAAGAGAAGCTGTGCATTTGGGCCTCAGGGTGATGAAGACAAAAATGGACAAACAGCATGCTTGTACCAAGCTTTCCTCTAAGTACTTTATGTGTGTAAATTCATTTACTTCTCACAACAATCCCATCAACTAGGTTCTTTTTTCATTCCCCTTTTACAGATGTGAAAATTGAGGTACAAGACACTTCTGTAACTCCCCCAAGGTCTTACCACTATTAAGTGGGAAAGGCAATTAAAAACCAGTGCATCTGTGCAGTTTCTTTTGTTGGTCACCATGTTCTTATTACAGAATTGTAATCTTATAGGTAACAATTTTATTAGAATAATCACTGCATAATAATATTTGATACATACCAAACAAAATGTGACAATTGTGCAAATTTTGAAGCAGACATCAAAATCTTGAAGCAGACACTATCCTTCTATTATCTTTGAATTTCTATTTACCATTCTCATGATTTCTAAATAGTTTTATTACATATAATCTATAAATACTATACTCTTTAGTTTTACATATTTGTAAACATTATAACTATTTGAACAATTGTGTAGAGTCTTCTGGAACTTGCTTTATTTAAAGACTTATTCATTTTCTTTGCATAGAGTTCTTGATTATTTTCACTCTTGTATAATGCCATTGTGTGGATACATCATAATTTATTTTTATCCATTCTTTTGTCAGTGAACATTTGGGTCTTCTGCTTGTTACTAATATGCCTGTTTTATGTTGCTATAACAAAATGCCTTTTTACTTTTTTTAAAAAAAGATTTATTTAGCTCACAGTTTTGGAGGCTGAAAGTCCAAGATTAGGAGACCCTACCAATTTGGTCTCTGGTGAGGGTCTTATGGCAGCTGGTATCACAACGGTGGGGAAGTGTGGGGAAGAGAACACGCGATGAGACAAGAAGCCAGAGAGGGATCTGAGGGCCAGGCTTGCTCTTTCCATAACAACTCTCTCATGGGATAGCTAACTCACTTCACAAGATCAGCATTAACCTTTTTAGGGTGATAGCCCCAATGACCTAATGACCGCCTACTAGACCACACCTCTTAAATGTGTCTCATCTCCCAAAAATGCCACACCGAGGGCCATGATCCCAACACATAAACCTTTTGGGGACAAATCACATTGGAATCACTGCATAGGTTCAATGTTTTTCTGAATATTCTTAGAAAGTTCTTCTAGTACCCATACATGTGTGCAATAATTTTTTACAAAATATACTTACAAATAAAATTGCTGTGCTAGTGAGTACAATTGTCCATATGCACACAATATTGCCAATTTTTTCCTCCAAAGTGACTGGGCCCCTTTTATTCCTAACAGCAGTTGTCCATACCCTTGCCAACACTCAGCATTGCCAGACTGTAAGTTTTTGCCCAGCTGGTGTATATAAATTATGCTTCACTGTGATCTTAACTTGTGTGATGGTACTTCAAATAGTTCATAAAAATTCATATTATGAAAAAAATTTGCACATTTCAAAATTTTCGCACCAAAATAAACATATATTTCCTTATATAAATCATATAACTTCAAAAAGCTTTGCACTCTTTTTATAAAAAAATGTTTATTTTTATTTTGCTTGGTAGAGAGACAGACAGAAATCTTCCATCTACTAGTTTACTCCCCAAATGCACACAACAACTGAAGTTAGGCCAAGTGGATATCTGGAGCCAGGAATTCAATCTAGGTCTCCCACATGGTTGGCAGGGACCCAAGTACTTGAGCCATCACCTGCTGTGTTCTAGGATGCACATTAGCAGGAATCTGGAATCGGAAGCAGCATAAGATGGGCTAAGTACTAGGACCCCCGATACCCACATGAGAGACCTAGATGGAATTCCTAGTTTCTGGTTTCAGCCTGGCCCAGACATGATTGTGGTCATTTGAGGAGTGAACACACAGATGGAGGATATCTCTCTCTCTCTCTCTCTCTCTCTCTCTCTCAATCTCACTCTCTAACTCTTGCTTTCCAATAAATAAATAAAAAATAAATACAGGATATTCCAAGACGGTGAAATAGGGATGGAGCTTACTGCTCTAGTCTACGGGATGATAGTTTTAAAAAAAGTAAGAGAGTGCAATCTCAGAAAATAGATAGGGAGAAAATGGCAGTGGAAACTTCAGCAAGTTAGAGGGATGCTGTGGATGTACATGGACAGTGTAGACACATAACAGGAACATGGAAACAATGCAAGACCCCAGCAGCCAAGAACCTCAGCACCAGCTTTGGAGAGTGAGGTAAGACCAGACTGCAGCAGCCCAAGCCACCAGCGATAAATCTGCGAGGAGAGCCTGGCATGAGTCTGGCTTGGGACCCTGTGGGGAACAGTGTACCTGCCAACCTAAAGGGGAAAAAGAGGGCATGTTTCTCTCTTCCTGATCACCTAGTTACTGGCATCCTGTAACTAGCTGAGAGAGGCCAGGGGCCATTTTGGTCATATGTAATAGCTACATCAGCTTGTATCTGTAGCTCAGCAACTAGCCGAGAGGAGATGCTGGGAGAATTGACAGGGACTGGGTGCCCATGACTGTAGAAGCCTTGTTTGCTAGGATTGTGATAAAACTGTGGCTGTGTGAGAGGGTGCAGGATGCGGCTCGGTCTCTGGGCAGTCGCTGTGGGCAGCTCCACACACTTGGGGCTCCCTCATTGCCTGGGGAGGGCATTGCTATAGGATCTCTGCCCACACTGAGGACTACACATATCCATTGTGTGGTTCTTGTGGTGGTATGGACATATATTACACATACTGGGGCTAGCATTCAGGCATTAGTTGCCGTGGAAGAGAGGTGAGCATGAGACTACACCAACAGAGCTGACCAAACCCTTCCTTCTGATAAAATAAATAAATAAAAAATAAAATGAGGGAATTTATCATACCTAACTTGAGTATCACCTTGGATACTCCTCTCGTGCGGAGCACTAAACAGAGCTTACTGGCTACAACCAGCACACACTTCTGGATGTTCACTGAAAGAGCAGAGATTTCACTAAACCACAGAGACAGTCCAAATATAAGAGCCATAACAGGGGCTAAAAAAACCCAACAAGTATCTCCACAAATGCCTAAAAATAAACACAGAAATTCAAGAAAAAAGAATAAGGAGTACAACATCATGCCTCCAAAAGATCATAACAATACTTCAAAACTAGAATGTGAAGATGAAGAGATTGATGAGATACTGGAAATGGAATTCAAAAAATTTATCATAGGATTACTAGAAGTAATCTGAAGCAAATCCATGAATGAATTAAAAATACTTAAGGATGTGCTACATACAGAAACACAGAAACATGGTCATCACTATGAAAGAAGATGAAGGCAGAAAATGTCACAGTAAAAGTACAAAGGAAATCCAAAGTAAAGAATAGG